GCTATGTAACAGCATTTACAAGAATCGTAAGAAATGCGCATGTGCTTATTATATACGTACACACACGCAGACCTATGCGTGTATGTTAATGTAGATAATGTCCTCTGTTGGTCAGTCCGTTCATCCATACCCAGCGTCACATTTTGCAGAGTAATAGTAGTGTTAATAGTATCTCATTAGTAAGCGTCATGTCCGGTGCTAATCCCAATTTGCGTCTGGTCACGTCGTCGTCGTCGCTATTTTTGAAGCCATCGTGGCCGTCGCTTGCTCGCGTCATCTTTGCTCGTAGTTGTCTCGGCAATAGCTAAGCCTACTACGAGCAAATAGCGTATTGATTACGATGTTTCTGTGGGAACGAGTGTGTCTGTGTGTTTTGGCTTGTCGTTTGTTCTGTGCGATTATGTGATCTGACAGATAGCTAGGCGACTCAATGCGAGACGCAACTCGATCCGTTTTGACGCTATAACAATCCAGATCACAGAGCGTCACCAACAAATCGATCGACCATCGAACACATCAGCCAGCCCATCAAAGCCAAAGCTCGATGGCGCGAACTTTTCGTCTGTCTAACGTAGCACAAAATGAAAAAAATAAACCGAAAAAAGCTACGCACACGGACGACACAAATAGATGTCGAGTCTCGTCATCGTTGCTGTTGTCTATGTTTCTGTGTAGGCCATAATGTAGCCGACATGACATAGCCGCATACCATGAGACTCTGTTCATTGGCTTCAGCCCTCGACGCGGACGTTCGTTTAGCTTCACATCCGCGCCGGTAGAAACGGCAATGCGTGATGCAACAGCTCGAGAGGTCGTTGGGTGCGCGAACCCGATGTTCGCCGCTGCTATGATCATCACCACCACCACCGCCGCCATCATCGACACCAATAGTGGTAATAGCAGCAGTGAACCAATAGAACGGAGCGGCGAGATAAGCGGGGAAGGAGAAGCGAAACAGCCTAGCGCCCAGGGGAACCGCCACTTTTCCAGACGATTTCTGAACCACTGCGGCTGCTTCTGTCGCTGTTGCGGATGACGAAAATGATACCTATTGATGATTCTGGTGCAGACGAAGTTAGTGCCGGCGTGGGCTGCTACGCAGGCCAAATACGTCAAAGGCGTAGTAATGGCGTGCGGTAGTCGATGCGTTAATTGGTGAATGTTTCACGTTGTCTCCTTCGTCGTTTTTTTGTTCGTCTGCTACTTCTGCGTCTGAGACCATGCAACAGCATGAGCAGTAGCGGCAGTAAAAAGCAAAAGAGTCTAAGCTAATGTCTTCAAGGCATATTAATTGCTTGGTCCTGGCAACCGGTCCAGTCAGCTCACTTGGATCATGGCTGACTGCACGCCATTGCATATTAATAGAAGAATTTAATCATGAGCAGGAACTAGTAGTATTGAAATTACTAATATATTAGCGTGGTATAATGACGATATGCCTGCTTATATAAATACCTCATTTGGGGGATGTGGATCGACGACATGGGCATACAGCGCATGGCTACAACAAATTTATGATAGTACGTAGTAAAAGAGATAATGTCTTTATGACGCGGTTAGCTTATGTATATCAAGGAAGCGATAGGGTAGAAAGAAAGTGGCGAGATATAATGCAAACGGCTCCATTCCACGGCTACTTGCTCTATATTTAAGTTCTCTTACTTCGCAAATAATATGTTAATTAGACTATGTTTAATTTAGACGCCGTGTGGGCATCGTCAAAACTCCACGGTGTCCTTTCGAATCGTGAAAACAATGAGAGGCCTCAACATGCATGAACAGAAGACACGTCTTTTTTTTTATCCGATGAAAGCTGTTCCGAGCCTTCCGACGGCTGCGTTTTCGCCTTCCTCGCAAAACCCTACTGTGAACAAAGGTCCAGTTTCACATAATTACAAATGTCGAATTACCTTCACGCGTTAACCGATGAAAGCGGTTATTGCAAACTTGTCGCAACTTAGCCAAAAGTTCCCAATTAAAGATGGCTGTTGTCAACATGGCTTGATCTCGGTAGAATAGACTGAGACGGGCGCTGACTTGTGCTGCCGGCCGGACCACAAGTCAAACTTTTGCGCTTACTTTATTGCATAGATGTATATACACACACACACACACATTTATCGTCCACTAAAGAAGTCTAATCTAGCCAGCGTATGGAATAGAGCTGACTAACGATTGCATTAGCTAGAACCGCAAGAAATCAAGCTTCCATAACGATCACGGATCGTATGGGAAGCCAAAAATGAATAAACAGGCTGTCAGAACAGACAAACGTCATCGATGAACAGATTAATGCTATTGCTGTTTCAGTCTTCGGTACTTCTGTTGGTGGTAATGACTGCTGTCTCCTTCATTCCAGTGCTACGGTCGATCTTCGTGGCCGTACTCGATAAAAGTATGATATACGGAAAATATATACAGTATGTAAAACGAGTCAAAGAGACCGTAACGACAACATTTTTGCTGATACTGCAGATGCTGTTGATGATTTTTTTGCTTCTGCTATCTTTATTATTATTATTATTGCCGTCGTCATTCACCGGCGGAATACCTCTGATGTCGGGGGGCAAGCTGGAGCGTCTGCCTCGAAAAATTTATGTACGTAACGCGCATTTATAAGTCATCATGGATGAAGTAATGCTAGAGGGCTGGCGTTTCACGTATACGGACTGTTTGCTGGATTCGGGCGTACCTACAGTACGATCACTTCAAATAAAATCTGAGGCAGAGCCAATATGATGCGGGCAGTTTCATCGTTTGTGGGCAAATCTAGGACCGATCAACCACAAACGGTCGCCGCGACATCTTCTTCGACGATTCCTTTTTCCTTTTCTACTATGGCGCGAAGTGGCACTGATGGTGACGGTAAGGCGGCGGCGGCAGCAGCAGCAGGAGCAGCGGCGACGCCGACGACTGCGGTGTATCATCGCTTGAAATACCAATTAGCCCTTTTACGAACGCCTTGATTTGTACTAGCGGCAGCAACGACGATAACAATTGCGACGCGTAGATTTTACGTAAATTCGTTTCGTGTCCTATACGCACTGAAGTTTGTTGAACTAATACTAACAGCTTCAGAAAATTGACGCTGGAGCCGTCGCTGAGCTCATCTGGAAGGTGTTGGGGAAAAATAGAAAGCAGATACTGTTGCAAGCAAGCAAGCAACTGCGTGATTCTGTTCGACCTATTTGTACGTGAGACGGCTGATGTTGTACAAAAGCAAAGGACAACGCCTGAACTAGTTGGTGCCATTGACTAATTGACTTTAATGCTAGGGCACGGTAAAGCTACAAGTGCTAGCTAATATTAAATGGTTGAACAGAAAAAACCACGCGTTTTTATCAGGCGATGAACCTCAACTTTTTTTTATTAGCGATATTCCATCGAAGGCTGTCTATGATGTTTGACACTCTCGAGCGAAAACTGATAGTCGCACTTGCTGTCAATCCATCCAAGAAAACTTCATTTAAAGATGCCCTGTGGCCAAATGTATTCAATCCACGTATCAGCGCGCGAGGCAGCTGTCTCTGAAGTTTACTCTCAGACCGTGCTGGCGGCATCTGCAAGGCGACGATAAGGCTTGTCTGTATTTCTGTGCGCTTTGAAAATAGAAAGCAAACATGAGCTCTCATGCAGCCCAGCTACACTGTGAACAATGTATAGCAGATCCGCCGTCCACGGTTAGCAGTTTCTGGTTTGCAACATCCAAGTATTCAATAACAAAGACTCTTCCTGTTTCCCTTGGCCTGCCTTCGGCCATCGTTGCCAGTTGACGATATCGACCTGGCCTTGCTTCCTCCAATCGTACCTTCTTATACAGAGAGAAAAAAAAAGTAGCTTTTTCCATACTTCTTTTATGCGCCGATTATGGCTCTCCGACTGCTACTGTTCCGCGGATGCTGACCGCTGGTGCACTGCGTAGCATGCGTCTACGCCTGTGTCTGTGTGAATCTAAACGCTGAGAGTAGCGTTATCAGCATTTGCCAGCGTTGACCGGTCGCGGCATTTCTCCTGCTGGCGATGGGAAAACCGTTCGTCCGTCCGAGATTAGGATGAAATGAAAAGCGTAAGTCAGAGGTCACCGGTGCCGCCATTCGGTTAGAAAGCGACAATTGGAAGGCTCTACTGTATACGAGCATTTCATAAATCGAACCTAGCTAATCGAACGGAGCAGATGCTCGCAAGACTGTGAACGATTCGAGCTACCTTATTTTCGATCGTAACTTATCGCTCTAGTTTAATTGCCGTTTTGGGTCAGGTAATGTATCGCAGAAAGTGCTAGCTAATTTAATTAATAAGCAGGAGAATATTATCAATATATAGACATGGCATGTTCGAAATTTTCGAAGTAAATCTTATCTTCGAAGACGAGCCACTTAGTAGCAGCAGCATTGTGTACAAGTTGACTGCTATTATTATTCGAAATGATGGCGCGCATTTTTGGGTGCAATTCGGGGTTTTCGTTGTTGCTAATGAGCTTTGCGGAAACACACATAACAATCTGATTTTTTTTCGTAAAGAACGTTGCTAAAATATATTCAGACGGTTAGTCAATGAACCTGACCGATTGTTATCACTTGCGGTATGCTGTCGGCAATCGTCGACGAAAGAAGCGTATGGCAGGCTGAGCTCCGGCAGGATAATCCACTTCTAAAGCAAAATTAACAAAAGCAAGCGGAAAAAGAACGAGTAGCTATTTTTACGGCACAGTCACAATCTTGAACGCTTATCTATAATAAAATGCATTACAATTTGCTTTAATCGTGAGAAATCGTACCGGGCCGTTACACCAACCGATAAGTTGAGTTCGCGCAATTTTGAAAACTTGTTAAGCTTCTAGAAAATAAAACTGAGTGCAACTTACCTACGAGATGACGATAACTGAAGTTCGACCGTTTTGTTTCTACTCAAAATTCGTGCTTCTCACGCTACTTGCATTTTGGTTAACCCCATTATATAACCATGAGATTTTTATTTTGATTCTCGTTCTCCACTTGCAGTCTGGGAAGATTTTGCGCTCTGGCGAGGAGGCCTACATTCGTGAGGCTGGCGATAGCTGTGGCCGAGGTGAGGATCCGTCGATCTTCGGTATGAAGGTCATACGCCAGTCGACCTGCACGAATTTTCCGCCCAAGCCCAGCAACGGTAACAACAAACCATCGGTCGCCCTCGCGATTCCACCAACTGGGTCCTCGGTGGCCACCATGCCAAGACTGCGGCCAGGCAAGCCCGCTGCTCCGCATCGCCCAGCTCCTCCATCGCTCATTCCGTCGTTCCACGATAACAGCGACCCATATTGGTATCGGCCGGTATCGACTAAACCCTGGAAGCGGATTAAGACGCACTCGGCTGACTCGGATCGCGTTAATGAGATTCCATCAACTGCAAAATCCAACTCACCCCTTTCGTGGACATTCATATTGACAGTCTGCATGCTATTGCAAACTGCATTAATAAAATGACGCGTACCGGAAACTCAGCTCAATGCTATCCTCGTTAGATAATATTGATTGATTGATCGATCGATCAAACCATTGATCTCGATTAATTGATTGTTGCCTTCAGCGAACCACCAGTCAGCCAATCATTAACGGTTCTTAGTTCTCCTTCAAGAAACTGGGGCAATTTTGTACAAATAGCTAACGAGGACGATAATACAAACACATGCTTCTATCTGATACAATCATTTGCCAAGCAAGGACTAGCAGCATCAGAAATCAGCTATTGAGAGTGGGGTGCTTTGATCGATCCGAATTGGAATTAAGCCCAGTAAACGAACAATTAATATTGGCGTGTGATACCAACTTGAAGATACGGTGATGTACGTCTGCACGGATCGTATATATCGCATCACGGGTGTCCATCGATGTGCGTTCTACAGGCAGAATGCGCCAATGAAGAGAAGAATTATTCTCATATGGTTCCCCCCATCCCCTCTTCTCCTCCTAGCGACGCCTGGGGAAACAGCAACTTTTGATCTCCTTGTAAACTATTCCGATTGCTGAAACCGGTTGAAGTGAGCGTTCAATCAACTATTCAGGGCCAATCGGTTATTTTTAGCAATAGCTTAGTATATAATAATATATTGTACATACAAAGATCGTATACAGAATATTACTAGAGGTGGTGATAAGTATTACGAAAACCAAGAGGATCACTGTTATCGTAGCCATGTATGAGGTCAAAATGATGTGACTATAACGTGATATTTCAACAAATTCATGTAAAATTTAGTCCTGAACACATTCGAATGTATGAAACAATTCAGTCTAGAGACGCGTTAAATCCGATATGCGTTTGCCCACACTCACAAACACGATAAAAATGGCAAAAATTACAACCAATTGCTAAAATGGCAGAAACACGGTGAGGAGTAAGAGTAAAAAATGAAAAAAAAAAAAAAAAAAAAAAGTCTATACGACGAAAAAAACACTTGCAACTATACACATGCTGCTAGAATAAGAACAGCGATATTTAGTTCAGGCTAAACAAAAAAAACAACAACACACGGAGCGAGAGAGAGCCACGTCCTACCTTTTATAAGAGTATTTAATAATTATAAATATTAATTTAATTGCATGCTGTTATGAAAACAAGTAAGGAAACCCTAGACACGTTGAAGTACAACAACAAGCAGACGTAAAATGGGCGGAAAAGAAAAGAGATAATCTGCCTGAAACGTAATAGTAATAATATAATTTTCGTAATAATTTATACCGTTCCCCGTACAATCCCTAGCCCAAGTGTGATTATAGCACGGGAACGTATCTATGTACATAGCGAAGGTAATGAAGGGGGCATGACAGCTTGCCCCCGTCAATGCCGCTGTACTCCGAAGTTATTTTATGAAAAGGTAATTTTTCGGGTCGTTTTCGTTTTTTACTCATTTTTTTTTATTTTTGATTCACACAAACATACTTATAGACAACATCGACATTTGTTTTTCTCTGGGCATGTATGATTAATGCATAAGTGTAGGAAACAAATTAACGTATGGCAAAAAAAAAAAAGAGAATCTCCTAAAATTTGCTAGAACATCTCATTATGTCTATCTGTTATAAGTTCTGAGCAAGGTAACGGATATGACCCTAAAGGAAAACGTCAAATAATCACATAAATATATTAAGCAGTTGTCAAGATGAATACTGGACGGAAACGATCTTGGCCAGTCTGCTACGGATACTAATTCAGAAGCAGCTGTAAAACTCGGTCAGCAAAACTGAATGGGGAGAACAGATATATACAAATCTATGTATTTTAATGATATGTATTAAATAAGCAAGCAATGGATAACGGGTACCGAACCATTGCACTAGGTGATCTGCGGTTAAATTTTACCGAAATGATTCTGTCAGACAGTATCTTTTACGTTTCAACAAGAGTCACCCAATATTTTTCTCAACGATGTACATAAAATGTTTATAATTTATTTAATAAATTTTAGTTAAGAGTTTATGCATTGTATTTTTATTCATTAACGATTCGAGCCGTTATCAGCTTGAGCGGCGTTTTATAAACTAGTGGTATTTAAACGGGCCCTTGTAGCTTCTCTCCAGGCTCCTTCTTTTGAACTTCACGGACGATGAGACAGAGGAGAAGGGGGCTCGAATAGGATCGTAGATTGACCAGGCAGCCACGCATTCGCGTGTATAAATGCGAGGTCAGGTTTTCTGTAGGGTGCGCACAGGGCCTTGAAGCCGGCCAGTAAAAGCAGTAGAAAGACGCAAATGGACCTGTTCAGAGCAGCCGAAACGACGATAGCGACTGTAGGCGCAGATAACGAACGGTAGGCAAACACAATAGGCCGTATAGCAAACGGTACGAAGCTAATCGTCGTAGTATTAATGTCTTCCTCAGCAACGATACGGCAATATAACAACAATGGCACCAGTTGGCGGATAGTAACGTGTGAGTTGCTAGCTAGTGGATATATTAACTTTATCGGAAGGCAAAGGCGCAGAGAAAAAAATACATAGGTAACAGGGAAAAAAATACATATACAATTATGATAAAGAGTAATAAATAGTCGTTGCTACCGACAGTTATTTTAGCATTGCTATCTGTAAAAGAATGCCTGGGTGGCAAGATCGCAATGGGTTGGCCGCGGGTAAAATAAACAACTTATCCATGTTCGATCTGGTCTTTTCGTCGTCTCGATCGTCAACCGTGTTCGATTTTTATGTCGCTCGATACCCAGGCTTGGTGTACATACTGGCTTTTATCTCTTTAAGTGAGTTACTAAAATCTAAACTATAAAGATCGCTTACACTATGTGACTATGTATCACCATTTTAGATGAGGCTACACTCAACTATCATCAGCTATCATTCAGCTATGGGAATCAACTATCGTGCAATCGATCAGCTCGATAAATTTTACATGACATAACAGTACAATACGGACATATATGTTTGAACTGTTCAATCGAAAGGCCGCTCGAGAAACAGGCCTCAGTACACACAACCCATTTGTGTACTGAACAGCCCATCAGGTCTGAGAAAAGAAGGCCGATAGCAAAGGTTTCTCCTGCATTTTCTTTTCTATCTGTTCGCTTTGATCTATATGTACCTACTTGCGTGTTGTTACTATACGTCCGTAAGCCAGTATGTATTTATACGCATATTTAAGCGTTCGAAAAAAGATGCCTTCGTGACTTGTTGGCTTCGCACAGCCACAGCTATAGCGGCGGCGGCGGCGGTGGTGGTGGTGGTGGTGATGGAGGATCGTGGACAGCAGAGCTCACGAGCCGGAAGAAGGAAAAAGAAGCGAATCATCGTTTCAGGTAAATCTTCAACTCACCGATTACCGTCCATCCATCCGTCCGTCCGTCATGGACGGCTGTTCTCCGCCGTTCTGCTACATGAGCAACTGCTATTGTTGTTACTGTAGCTTTGGGGTGGTATTCAGGCTACAGGTTACCTCGTGTTGTTATTGCTGTTGCCGGTGCTTAAGATGATGACTATAATAACGACTGATGATGATGATTTTGAGGTTCACATGAGCGTGCTTTGAGGCGGGGGCAGGTGAGGCGGTTGGACGCGACGAGAAGAAGGCGGTACGCAGATGTGAAACAGACCTAAAACAAGCTGCACGACGATGCCGACGCTAGTGAGCAGCAGCACGACGACGAATAGCATGATTATGACTAACAGTAGAACTCGATGTATGAAACTGAAGATTTCTTTGACGACGACAACAGCAACAGCAGCGTCGACAACAAGCCACACAAAATAGCCTGGAGCGGCAGAAACAGCAGAAGGGAACAGATTGACAATATCAGCAGCGTAACTCTTTCTCTCCCTCTGCTGCGCATCGACTTCTCGGCTATCAGCATCTTTTAGGGCTAGGCCTATTGGATGGACCAGGTCATCACAAGGCACGAAGACTTCCAGTATTACACAGGATTGCTGAGGCTTCATCCGATTCCTACGTACGCTGCGATTCGGGCATCGAAACGACAAGAACTGCAAAGGTTTTGGTGCAATGACTGCGCGAAAATGGCCGACGCGCAAGGCATGCTCGAACAGTTAGTGAGGGCTTAATTTGTGCGCTTCATGCTATTTATTTACGCCACAAGCAGTGGACAGTGTTGGCTAGAGAAGTTCTGGGCAGAGAAGCATAAGAAGGGTTAGCTTTCCGCAGGAAGGACTTGATTCAGAGAGTGTGCTGTTGCTACTGCCGATGCATTGAATCAATGTGCGAGAAAACAGCGAGAGATCAGATGTGGAAGCGTAGTGTCTTGTGCACACGAAAACGAAGAAGCTATTAGGGACATCCGGTGCGGTGCTATGCTGTAGGCCGTCAAACATAGCTGGCTTTGTCAGTTCACGCTACGTACGAGAACGCAGCCAAGCAAGGAAATAAGCGATCAACAAGTTAGTTGGCTGGCTTGAGAGGTCGAGTGAGCGGTAGAGTAGGCGTGCAGGCGGGCGGGCGAGCGGGCGGACGGACGGACGGGAAGGAAGGTAGGTTAACGAGTAGGCGACACAAGCAGATAGATGCAGCACGAACGAGGAGCACCGTTGGCAGACGAGCAGAACAAGATGACGCCTGGAGGCGCATCGTCATTGCCTTAGCTCAATTTAGCTGGTGCATCAACTCGCGAAGCGTGGGCCCGAATCAGCAGATGATAAAGGTGAAACAGAGTCGGAGCGAATCGTCTTCGAATCGTTTCAATAGTTACCCTCTCTGACCACTGAGACAAAGCAGAGGACGGGAACTAGATGCTATTGGTGCAATGCTGTGGTCGATTATATATTCAAGACGATAATAGCGAATCGGGTTCGTGCACATGGAGTACGGCAAGCATCTTGGGTTCATGGTTTATCTTTCGTTTCGAGCATAAGAGCCAATAGATAAATAGCAATGACGCAGAAAACAGAAGAAACTAAACAGCTCAGAAAATCCATTCCACACGAATCCAAAACACAGGGAATCCTATCGACGATCAATGAATCGGCGCCCTATCCACAATTCTAGGAATACGTACGAGCCGCGCCCGCAACAGGAATTACATCAGTAGTAGCAGCAAACGCCAGGAACGACGAAAGTCAAAAAAAAACACGAAGAAAGGAATATTACATCACTCGATACGATGCCGTGGGCTGACATGCTTCCGCTGCTCCCGAGCACAGCGCTCGGGCAAGCGTAGGCGACCGATGGCGATGGCGCACTACGTATATCTAGATATACCAAACAGAAGAAGCGTTACGAACAAAAACTAAAAGGAAGCCAATATTATATAGCCAAATTAGCCGGCCGATAGCGGTAGAACAATGTGTAAGAAAGGCGACAAAGGCCAAAGCGATCGCAATTGGCCTCGGCTACTAGAAAAGCCAGCGGTTGATGTTTCCGACAATGCTTCGTTCACGGGCTCAATGTGACCAGTCACTGCTGGTCAGTTACTTTTCCTACTGGTTGGATTCACTCTGGTAAGGAGAAATCTGAGGCTGATGCGGGCATCCCTGTCCGTCCGCCCGTAGGCACTACAGTTTACACTGAACTGGATAATCAGTGTCTTTGCCAACCTCATTGATATAGTCTATTATATCGTAAAATCTAGAAACTGCTTAGTAGCCGACTCAAATCCTAGAAACGGGGTATTCTTTGAATGCGATTCAGGTCCGAATATCGGATCTACTATCGTATAGAAATAATTTTAAAAGTGTCATACAGCTCTTATGATTTTCTACCCTTTGCGATTACGACAGATGCCATTACCTGTAGCTGGATAACGACACACATATATGTATATATAATAACTTGGGGGGTAGATATAGATTTCAGACAAGAACCGTTGCATTTTGCAGCTTTTATATAAGTTGTTGCCCCTTGGAGTAGGATGATTTACCACAAATGACAATTGAGGGGTCATTACTTTATGTGTCAGCCATGTACCTACCATTGCCCCATGAATAT